GAGGGTAATGCTGCAGACACCGGCCAATACTGGCAGCACAGAAGGTGCAAACACAAAGGAGGGGGCGCTTTGACTGGCGTGGTAATTTTTCAAAACACTGGGATTTGTAGTCTTTGCGGCCAAATTTGGCCCTCGGGCCGGAGTTTGACACCTGTGCTTTACAGAGTGAATGAAATGTCACTTAGACCCTACCGGCTCCTGTGGCCAGAATACCACACTTGCAACTTCAGAGTATCCAGGCCATCTCTTTTAGTCTTACTAAAGTGGAGCTAACATGCCAGACTGGAGTCTGCTTACAGCACATGATTCCTGCATGTTTTAAAGTTAATTAAAAGTTCCACTAGTCATCGTCACACACTGGTGAAATTGTGTCTCCTCATTTGACCTTTCGGGAATAGATCGTGAACACGGTTTATTTGTTTAATTTAGTGAAGAACTTCTCCTATAGAAACTAATGAAGGCTGGGGAGACATTTCAGCAGTTAGATGAAGGTGTTACAAAGACGAATGCAGATCGAGGAGAGAGTTTCAGGAACTAGCAGAATGCCACATCAGAAGAGAGCTTAACATGGCAGGATTTCAATCAATCAATCAATCAATCAATCAAAGCTTTATTTATAAAGCGCCTTCTGCAACCCTGTCAGGAAGCCCAAAGCGCTGAACATGGTTCAGTTGAAGGTAAATATATTGAATAAATCAAAAATAAAAGCAATTCAAATTACAAAATAGGTGAAACATTCTGGTACAGGACAAATGTGTAAAACAATGGATAGAGTGAACCAATGAAAACTGTGAAATAAATTCAACATAAAAGAGGGACAAAATTCAAACACGTTCAGGAAACGCCAAGCGGAGGAGGTGTGTTTTTAGGCGACTCTTAAAGACTGGCAGAGATGGGGACAGCCTAACTGAGGGTGGCAACTGGTTCCAGAGTGTTGGTGCTAGGACTGAGAAAGCCCGGTCCCCGCGAGTACGACACCTAGACCGAGGGACAGCGAGCAGGCCTTGGTCAGAGGAGCGCAGAGCGTGTGATGGGGAATGTCTGTTCAGGAGCGTGACTAGATAGGGGGGACCACCACCCTGGAAGAAATGATAAACAAAGACGAGGATTTTGAATTGTGAGCGATAGCAAACCGGAAGCCGGTGCAGGGAGGCCAGAACCGGACTGATGTGGTCCCGTTTCCTGGTCCCAGTCAGGAACCTGGCTGAGCTGTTCTGCACAACCTGTAGGCGATGCAGTGATGACTGACACAAACCTGCATATAGAGAGCTGCAGTAGTCAAGCCTAGATTTACACTCTTATTTCCTGATATTTGGACATCTCGCCCAGGGGCGTGTCCAGGGAGTGGCCTGAGGTAGCACATGCCACCCCACTAAGTTCCAGTTTAAAATGACTTTACATTGGCGACAAAAGGCTTGGGTTGTAAACTCCAAAACAGTGCGTGGTTGCATGCACCTTTCACCTTGTTTTCTAGCCCAGGCATGTAGTATTAATATTATTTAATATGTTTTCATATTCACATACATAGTATTTAGAGTCCCACTCAACGCCAGTTGGTGGCAGTAATGCAACCAGAAGTGACTTGCTAACCACCACAAAAGTAGAAGATGAAGAAGGAAAAAAATGGTGATTGAGCAATGTGAAACTCAAAAATTCACTAGAAAGTAAATAAATCAATAAACGATTTGTGTAAATAAATAAATAAGCATAACCATTGGTGCCACCCATGAATAAACAAGTGCCCCACATGGGCCACCCCATTTTAAAAGTCCTGGACACAGCTCTGATCTCGCCTTGGATTGGATAACAGCAATGCGACTCTACCACTGACTCCATCAGCTCTGCGACATGGATGTTTTATCTCCACAAATGAGCATGGAGGAGTTCTGCTAGTTTCTAATTATAATGGTTAGCTTTTACTAGCTGTTCCCTGGACGCTAAACATCGTGAATCAAGATGGGTGAGTCCATGAATGTTTAGCAACAGTGTTACATAGATCTGTCTGGCGTTTCAAATCCTAGAGTTTCACCGTCTTATTTTCTGTCGGAAGCTAATGCAGGAGATAGGTGTAGGAGACTATTTTCATGTTCAGCCTGCATGAATGCTGTGGACAAGAACATCAAGTTCACCAGGGAAGATGCTCACAACAACCAACTACCCTTCTGGGACTGCTCTGTGCAAATCGAACAAGATGGGAGTTTCAGCATTGAAGTCTACAGGAAACCAACTCACACAGACCAGTATTTGTATTTTGGCTCACGTCGCCCACTGGAGCACAAAACGTCAGTCATCAGGACTTTACACCATCGAGCTGAAAACATTCCCACAGACTGAAGGAAAGCAAAAGGAAGAGGAACACACAAAGAAAGCTCTCTAAAACTGCAGATACCCTAACTGGGCCTTTGTGAAATCTACAAAGAAGTCTGGAAAAGCATCCAAAGCAGCAACCAGCAAAGAAAAGGACAACAGATGCAAAGGCACCGTCATCCCGTACGTGGCAGGAGACTCAGAGAAACCTAGAAGAATCTTGTCCAAACTCAACATCTCAGTAAACTTTAACCCAACAACACCCTCAGACAGAAACCGGTCCATTTATAGGTAGCTTCTGCTCACTAACTCTTATATTGGCGGTTGTGTCGGTGCTGACACAAAATGGCTTCCATATTTTGAACTACCATAACTTTTCGTCCGTTTGTGCAATAAATGTCATTTCAATGAATTCAGAAAGCTGAGACTGTGTTTTCCAGCGGTGTACAACACATGGTAATGGATGCAATTCCCTATCTGAGATAGAACCAGGAAAAAAACATTCTGCTGCTTCAAAAATATGGGGGGGGGGGGGGGGGGGGGGGGGGGGGGTTGGACGCATCTTTTCAACTTGTGTCTCCTACTGGTGGAAATTATAATCGTTTTCTGTAAACATTGTACTTTGTTGTATTTAGTAATGTTAGTAAACTTTTAGCCATTTTTATATCACTCGTAGTTTATTTTTCAGCTGCGTTCTTCACGGAGGATTTTTATTTTATATATTAGATTTGTTTTTGTAAATAATGGAAGAAACCAGGAAATCTTCTAGAAAGAGGAAACGTCCCTCAAGATTTGTTGGAGGATCAAGATGTGCCCTACAGAGTTTTCCCATCACAAACACAGTAAGCATCACTGCTCTAAATATTTTCCAAGCTACATATGTTCCAGTTTCTGCTGTCTAGTATTTCTGCTAATACTAACGCTACTTCCAGGAAAACAAGGCCTCCATGTACATTTGTGGCTGAAGATTCAGGTGTGGATGAAGATGCTTTGCCATCACAGCTGCAGTGAGTTTATATACAGTTTAAATGTGTTTCTGTGTTTCTTTTACAATTTTCACTTTCTAATATTTACTGCTTGAATAAACTGAATAAAATCTGATATATTTTTACTTTTAGAGGTTCTTCTGATGGAGGGCCGTCCACATTCACCAGCAATAGGCGATGTCAGGCACGTTGTGCTGCTGGAGATGCTCCACATCTTCTAAACTCCTGGAAGCCAGATACCGTGGACCCACGCCACCCAGGTTTATCCCCAGAAGAACCCCTGGCTATCAGCTGCCTCTCACCACCAGCTCCACAAACAAACCTATAGTGACCTCCGCTCAAGGTCACATACCTGCACCTGGAACAGTGGAGAGGGAATGAACAAAGCACAGGGCGAGTCGGGGAGGTGAAGGTGCACTCTGCAGAAAAAGCACTACCTGGATGTGCAAAAAGTGACCAAAGGGGTTCTTTCTGCAGCGGGACGGGAACTGCTTTGCAGAACACCACAGTCCCTAAAACCGCCCGAACAGTGACAGACATTATCCCATGAAACTGAGACGCTGTGCATATAAAATCAATACAAGGTTGAAACACATGTTAGGTTTGATTTCTGCAAGTTGGTTTTTATTGCATACTGTTTTGAGTCATTTAAACACAATAAGTGCAAAACTTTTACAGATGTTGAAATCTAAACCTGTCCTGGAAAAAAGGGTTCAAGCTGGCTTTTGTGTGACCTTCAGCCTTCCCCTCCTTTTTCTGCTCTTTCTATTTCTTCCTTTTCCAGGGTCCACTGATTTCCCTCGTTCCTAATAACTTTCTCTCTCCCTTTCCTCACATTTTTAATCACAATTTTTTATTTTTCCTCTTTTTCATAAGATTTTTTGATAATCGTCTTTTGTTTTTGTTCTTGTGAATTTTATCTTGAGAGGCGCCATATAAAAGATTGTCTTCTTTCTTTAACTTTTATTTTTGTGCACATAGGACCCTTTTTGACATATTTAGTGAAAGAAATAGACAAGAATGATCAAGTGGAGCTTAAGAATCACAGCAGTAATAGGGTTAAGCTACAACAAACCGCTACAGTTTAGAAGCAGTTTGAACCCGTTTGGACGTTGAATTGATAATTACGCCCAGCTCATTAAGATAAGTGCACCACTGAGGCATAAGGCCTTCAGTCGCTACACCCAGGTGTAACTTTTACGCCTAGTATGGACCAGGCATAAACTGGAAGATCTAGCCTACAGTTATTTTATGAGCGTGGAAATAAGCAACGGCCGATATGTGCAGACGGAGAAGCTAACACAGCTGAGACTCACTAGGCTGCAGCTGATAAATTAGTTTATTTCTGTGCGTAAAGTGTAGAGGAAAGATAGGTGAACTCCACAGTTTAAGCACTATTTTGTTAGAACATTGTGTAAGGTCTATAGTAATGGTCCACATGAGCCATTTCTGGTCATTTTCCTGGATGCAGCGTTCTCACGCTGAGGGGGTGATGCTCTTCATACGGCAGAGAGCGTTTGTGAGTAGCGGTGCCATTGCCCAACCGTGTGGTTTGTTAAACAGCTGTATAATCACTAATTGCATTAGATTTATTTAAGTACCTTTAAAAACAAACCCTTAATGAAGGATGCCGTTTGTAACTAAACACAACCCACATGCAGAAGTGATCAGCTACGTAGTCTGATATGCTTCGGTTTTATCTTGCAGGTGTACTTGGTGTTAACTGCTCAGCTGATGGTCACCTTCGGGTTTGTGGCTGTTTTCACCTTTGTGGATCAAGTCAAGGGCTTTGTCATAAGGAACACCTGGACCTACTTTTTGTCCTATGGGATCTTTTTTGTGTCCGTGTGTGTGATAAGCTGCTGTGGAAACGTCCGCCGCAGACACCCCTGGAACCTGGTGGCTTTGGTAAGAAACATATATTTTGTTTTAAAGGCAAACAGAAGAGAAGGATGTTTCACATTACATTTCAACTTCCTGTTAAGCTCCTTACATCACTGGGTTCTTTCGAAAGCCAAGATGTAGAGGAGATGCAGATTACAGGAAGTGCTGAAGTTTGTCTGAAACAACAACATGAGGAAGGATCTTTATATTAGTTAAAGGATCACACTGCTTTGTTGCTAAAATCTGTTATTTATTGCAACTTTACACATGAGAGCAACGTGTTGATGTATTTGTCTCTCATTTCCAGTCCATCCTGACGCTCAGCATGTCCTACATGGTGGGAGTGATCGCCAGCTTCCACAACACAGAGTCGGTGATCATAGCAGTGGGAATCACAGCAGTTGTGTGCTTTAGCGTGATCATCTTCTCCATGCAGGTTTGGATCTGAGCTCCAGCTCCCTGCATGGATGTCATGTAGCGCTGTCACCCTGGTATGACACTGCTTTTATCTCCTCTCCCCACAGACCAAATATGACTTCACTTCCTGTTATGGAGTGCTCTTCGTTTGCTTGATTGTCCTGTTCATCTTCAGCATCCTCTGCATCATCTTCCAGAACATGATTCTGAACATTGTGTATGCTGGACTGGGAGCGTTACTTTTCACTGTTGTAAGTATTTATATAAGCAATTGTACATAGAATTTAGAAATTTTACAATAAAAGGATGTGAGTATAACGCCGGGGACACACTGGCCGCGAAGCGCCGCGAAAATGTGGCCGCCTTCATTCGGCGCCCTTGTTGAGCTATTCTATAGACCACATGGGCCGCCGAAGCGCCGCAAATCGCCTCGCGCCGGCGCCCCAGCCCACGCCGTGCAGCGATCATTTCGGCATCGGCTCTATTTTTTTCGCGAGCCGCGGGTGAATCGCATCAATTCTGGCAGGAAGTCAAACCTAGACATAAGAGGCAGGCCGGTAAAGTTAACAAAATAAAGCATTTCAAAATAAAATTCCGCAATAGTCAAATGTGTTCGTAATCAGACACTGCAGAAAAACCACACGAACACACACACACATCGAACTTGTGTGCGTGTGTGACCACGTGAAGGGGTGTGTGGTTTTGGGTGTCTTTTCACCGGAGCAAACAGGACAGAGAGGTAGAAAGTCTGAGGCAAGCAGTTAAGATGGATGACTTTAAATTAATTATGGAAGTTGAGAAACACAAGGAGCTGTACGACTCCCGAAAAACATGTTTATCTACGTACCCATTTCGGAAGAAACTGCTAGGATACAGCTGCAGAATTGGAGCGGGTTCCAAGAGATTCAACTGGCAGAAACAACTCATACCATAGGTACACACACACACACACACACACAAACACAAACAAACAAACAAACTAACAAACTAACGCACATGCGCGCGCACACACGTAGAGGAAAATACCTGAGAAAAGGCAGAGAGGAAAGTGTTTTAAAAGAAAAACTACAGCTGAGCCGAGGCGCGCCTCGACTGGGGCGCGTCTGATCTGAACTGAGGAGCGGCGAGCAGCGGCCGAATTTCGTGAGCGATTCGCTTCTCGGCGCTTCCGCGGCCGGTGTGTCCCCGGCGTAAGTCTGTTTCTAGCAGAAACATTGAGCAGAAATGCAGTTCTGAATTGGACCAACTACTTTTACTGACCAAGATTTAGATGTAACAAAAGGGACAGTGGTAATCCGTCTGCAAGCGTGAGATTTACAAGCATGGAGCATTGTTCAAAGTTTATTGTTCCAACTAGGGGTGTACCATCTTAGGTACCTCAGTTCAATTCCATTTTGATTCAGGGTCCTACGATTCCATTACTAAACACGACTACCACTGTTCTGATGCATTGTTTATTCTCACGGCTTAGCGTTTTCATACTTTTAAATGAATCCAGCAAACATGAATTCAAATGACCAAATGCATTTAGCGCTACTATCCTATTCATGTAAAGGTAAACACATACCCTACATACCTTTGCATGAAAGCGTGAATAATGAAGAGAGCAACTTGCTGCACAAACATCTAGCCATCTTCATCTAACCCGGGACAGCATAATGGTAGTGTTGCCATTTTTTCACACAGCTTTTGTTGTCCTGACAAGTAAATCCCACGCTCAGTGGCTAACGCTAATAAACAAGCTTCCGACATTTAGCTGTTTTTTTATTTTTCTGGTGGTCCGTCGCCTAAAGTGTCCGGGCGGCAGAAGTCACTTTATGTTCCTCCCACACTTTGTGGCTGTTTTCATCATTTATAATCCTTTATGAACGTTTACAAATCGATTTTGAATTGGAACGTGTCACACGGTGATGCATCAATGATTTGGTGAATTAACACACCCTTAGTTGCACCCTCTGTGTGAAATCTGCTTTGATTTTTAATTAAGAATTGTACAAAAATGTGTTGCTAAGCAAAAAGAAAAAAGTCCCCCCAAAAAACAAGCTAATAAAAATAGGTGAGCATCAAAAGATAAACCACGGCTGTAAAAAACCTGCATTCAGAGAGAAATTACTTTAGTCTGCTAGACTTCTCTTATTACTCAAATGTAAATCATCGTGTTTAAGATGGCTGTAGAAGCCCATGTCTGTGTCATTATGGCTCCAACTATGACAACCACAGCAAATGTGAAACATCTCACACAGAAAGTATTTGATCCCAGCTGCATTCATTGCCTGTTTGTTTTTGCTTTTCTTTAATCAAACTTCACTTATTTCCTCGTCAACCTCGTCACCGGCAGGATTTCTCTAAATTCTCAGCATTCTTGTTCACTTATCTTATTTTTATGGAGTTAAAACAAAGCTTTAACAGCCGCTTTACGTTTCCGTGGCCACAGCTATTGAAACTTAACACGAGTCATGATTTGACGTTCAGCATGTGAAAACCATAGACGTAGAAATTGGACGCAGCAACTCACATTCCTCTCATTTGACCAAATGAAGCAAAATGGGCGGTTCCTATCACGCCAAATTAGTGAGGTCATACGTCTCTTAACGCCCAGACGTCCCTAAAAAGGGAACAGAGGTGGGGCTGTTATGGTGGGAGCAAATGAACCATTGTAGCTACTAGCTAACTTGGCTAACCCTAGAAGCTAAGAAGGAGCTCTGGGGCAGCCGCCCTGCACGGCCGCCTGACTTCCGTGTGAAGCTGTATTTGTGCTGTCACAAGCAGAGCCTCAGATCGCTGCGATCGGAGCTGGGCGCCCTGGCTTCTTACCTCAGCTTATGCTGTCGGAGATCGGCGGGACATTAGCTACATGCTAACCCAAAACTAAAAAGACCCTTTACAGCTGGTGTATTCAATTTTGGGCCTGGAGGGCCAGTATCTAGTACGTTTAATTTTAACTCTGTTTCAACACACCTGCTTTCAATCTGCAGGTACCGTATTGACCTGAATACAGGGTGACCCCGATTATAACACCACCATCCTTTTCAAGACTTATCTTCAGAAAAAGACAAAAAAAAAAGCTAATTTTTAAGACAATTTTTATTGAAAATTTTAGAACAAATACTGAGCAAAAATACTATTTTAATGCAAACCATCAGAACTTTGCTGACATGTGAAATCTGAAGTCAAATGAGGCTTTTATTCAGACGCCCTCTGCCTCGCTGTACTCACTCATTCATTCTCACTCATGCTGCTGCGGTCCCGGTGTTCCATCAGGTCGCCACACCTGCCGACTCCTCCCAGAACGTCATCCTCCTGCCATCCAGGCATCCATGCATGCAATGTTTGACGCCTCTACTGAATTGACCACCGTCATCTTAAAATTTGCATAACTCTGCCTTATAGCTCGTTAACTCGCCCCACTTTTGGTCCACTCTGCTCCGGACCTCTCGTCTCAATTTTGTTCTCCTTTTGAGAACATACAGCCTGGCACCCCCAGCTGTTACAGCCATGTAATGGTTAGACCTCGATAAGACGACCCCACATTTTAAAATTAGTTTTAATGAAGAAAAAAAAACCTGGTCTTATATCGGGTCAATACGGTGATTAACAGGCTTCTGCAGAGCATGATGAGCTGCTGCACAGGTGATTGAACCACTGAATTAAGTGTGTTGGTGCTGAGAAACAACTAAAACGTGATGTATACCAGACCTCTGGGGCCGGAATTGAGTACCCCTGCTTCACAGGGTTAACAAAGGCCACCCAGCCCCCATCGTCCCCATGGCCAGATTACTCCACTTGCAGCTTCGCAGTTGCTGGTCCGTTTTCTTGGACTTATAAAAATATGAGCTTACATGCCTGGAGCTGCATTCTGCTTCTAGCACGTTTCCTGCATGTTTGAGATCACGAACACAGCTGATTTGTGTAATTTAGTGTAGCCTGTAAGGAAGGCTGGGACTCACACAGCGCCTATAGCTGGCGTACTGGGGACTGTCGCTGCAGTAACAGCAGCGGGACTCCCGGTTATTTGCTGAATGGCTCTATATTTTAACAATGGTAAAGGGCCTGTTTTTGTATGGGTCCTTCCCAGGATTTTACAACCCTCCAAGGCGCTTCGCAACACAGTCATCCATCCATTCACACACACATTCACACGCTAGTGATGATAAGCTACAGTGTAACCACTGGTGTCCTGGGGTGCACTGGGGTACGCCAGCGCCACCGCTCCCTCTGACCACCACCAGCAGGCAAGGCAGATCAAGTGTCATGCCCAAGGACACTACAGCAGCGTTCTCTGAAGCAGCCTGTTCCATCATTCTTTGAGTGGATGCAAATAGTGTTCAACTGAGATCCACTTCTGTTGAGTTTTAGTTGTTCTGGTGAAAACTTGAAAATACCTGAAATCTGACAAAATTTCAAGATCTGTTTGCACTTGCAGTATGGCCTGTCACCATGAATACAAACCGTTCTGGTTGGTGTTTGCTAATAGACACAGGCAAAAACATTACTGCAGCAACCTCTTCCTGACCTATTTCTTAAGCAGGCTCAGCAGTGGGTAGAAGATGAACGACGCGCTCCACGTATCACCGCCATCTTGTCTTATTTATTCTCTCCATCAATACAATTACCACTTACTGCACTTATGGATCAGAATACATATTCATAGGATAAAATAAGCAGTCAACAAAATGTGTCACCCATGCTCACCCCGCCGTCATCCTTCCTACTGTCTGTCGTCTGTTTCCAATCACACCTGTGCCAGGTGCAGATAATGCCTCGGGGCGCACAGAGCGGCACGCCCACCTCCCAGGTGAAGCACAATTACTAAAATGATGAATAAACTTCCTAAATCTTGCTCCTACAAACATCATCACCCACCTTTCATTTTTTAGTAATGGGTGAATATGAAGACATTAAAGTGAAACAACCCTTTTCATTCTAGTGGGTTGGAAACGCTGTCAGAGGTTTGACCTGTGTTTAATGTCTTTGTGTGTTGCAGTTCTTGGCGGTGGACACGCAGCTGCTGCTCGGTAACAAGGAGTTGTCCCTGAGCCCAGAAGAATACGTGTTTGCTGCTCTGAACCTCTACACTGACATCATCAACATCTTCCTCTACATTCTTGCCATCATCGGAAGAGCAAGAGGCTGAAGAGAGAGAGCAGCCTGTCAGCGCTCAAGCAGAAAGTTGTTTTGTTGAACTTTCCATAATAATCCTGAATCAGATCTCATTTGCTCAGTTGGGCATTTTGATCACATAGCTTTTGTTCCTGCTTTAAAATCTAAACGAATCGATAAACAGTGAGTAAGTTGCAGTTTGACTGATTACTGGTGTCTGTGGAATCGTCTGTAATATTCTGTAATTGTAATATATGGAAGGTGTATCTTATGCTGTAGACCAGCTTCAGGGGTGTTTAAACTATAGAAAGGGAGGTTTGGGTTTTGTTTAGTCAAAAACCATTTCTAGGGTTCCAACTGAACCGGAGCAAAACTAGAAAGGAAGCCAGCAAGAGTAGAAGGGAACTAAACCAAAACAACTCTGTCTCCAGGACAACGAGAAACCCGTTGAAACACTTAGAAATGATAAACTTGCATTTTTGCTTCTTTTTTCTTTAAGTACTCTCAACTGTTTTCACTTTATTGCTCTCAAGTTTTGAGAAAATTTTAAAAACATGACATCTGTTCTTTGTATAAAGTAAAAGAATAAACAACATACATTCCATCGATGCATGTGGGTTCTGTTTTGGTTTAATTTTAGTGAAAGGTTCTGTGTGTTGGCCGGCTGTGAACTGTGAATCTGGACTGCAGGATGAGCCTAGATCCGTCTACAGCAGCCTTGCAGGCAAAAAATGTGCAACTCACACAGGAGAAAGAGCAGCTGAAGCTGATGCTGAGTCTGCTGCAGGAAAACCAGGACATGAAAGCGAAGATTCAGAGCTTCAGTGGAGGACCCCCGGATGATTTCACAGGTAAGCTAGAAGGTGTCAGCCAGGGATGCTTTTAGCTGCCTTCTGTCTTCTCACATCACTGAAGGGTTTCATTGTAAAATAACATTTTGTGCTCATTTGACTGAGAGTAACTTATCGTGACCAAATACAAACTTTCTTTAAAGATAGCAAAGTGACAAGTAATATTGTTGCTTGCCTCTGAAACAGAAGCATCAAATCTGTGGCAAAAAACGGTTGATGAGCAACAATTCAGGAGAGTGTTTCAGCAAACTAAAACCACCGCCGAGCACCGAGCATCATCTCCCATCGACTTCCAGTCCTTCCTGCAGAGCTCTGCACACAGAAATACAGACCAGACAGCAGCACTACAAGGTCACCAGACAGAGTGTCATCTTTGTGTCTCAGGTGAAACTGCCACAGCAATTAAAAAAATAAAGGCTTTAATGTCACAAATTATTAATGTCTGACCATTTCCACTCAGCTCAGCCAAGAGTCATAGGAGAGATGGTCTTTCAGCTGGACAGGAGGATTCTGTCCCACATCTTCCAAGCTCAGACGAGGCTTTACGGTTTCACACTGCGCAATATCCCAGAGAAAATTGAAGAGGTAATCCTTCTGTGTTGTAGTTGCTGAATCATGGACAGTGGTTGTAATTTAAAGAGAATGTAACTAACAGAACCCCCTCTTTGATGAGGAACCAAGGGGTAAACATGTGAACAGTGGGCTAGGGATTCCCATATTAAAAGTGTTTTATTTTTGTGTGTTTACAGTTGAGTACACACCCTCTGACAGGGAAGGTGGACATGGGCTATCGGCATCACCTCAGCCAGAGGCACACACATCTGATGTCCAAACTGAGCCAGCTTGGCTACAAAGCAGCGCTTCATCCTCTGTTCTCTGAATTTATTGTCAACACCTATGGGATCCTAAAGGAGAGGCCTGGTGAAAATAGCCCTCATGGGACTGAGTACAATGATCCGGATTTGTTGAGGAGACTAATAGTGACCACCACTCCACAAAAAATGCATAAGGACCTACATGTGCTGCTTACTTGTCTCTGCTACATGGCAGAACAGGACAGGAAGCTCCTCATGCTCTGGTAGACGTCACATTACTCAGCAAACATGGACAGTACTATCCATCAAGTGAAAATCAGCTGCAATAAATTAAAAGAGGCATTTTGTGTGCTTGCAAAATTTCACATTCCAAAAACAAAACATTCCTGTGTGTTATACTAAAAAACAAACACGGTTGCCTTTTAAGACATTTCTACAGGATTTCTGGTTTCCATGTTTGTTTTTAATGTCCTGAGACCCTGCATACTTATATGAAGACACTGGCTTCCATACAGCATCTGTCTTTGAATTATTAATTCAATTCAATTCAGAAATACTTTATTAATCCCAGAGGGAAACTGATTGCTGTAGTAGCTCAGAATAATAATAATAATCAAGTCATCAAAGAGTTGTTGTATATTACAATGGCTGTTGGCAGGAAGGATCTCCAGTAGCGGTCAGTGTTGCAGCCAAACTGAAGAAGCCTCTGACTGAAGACACTCTTCCGTTGTCGCACAGTCTTGTGACAAAAGTAATTAAACAATTAAAAATCTATATTCTAATTGTTTACAAATAGGTATTGTATGTTTATGATGCCCTGCTAATCCCAAATGACTGGGGGAATTCACAATGCAGCGCCTTCTATTCTACACAGAGGACTTTGCTTCCCATAAGGAAGTTGGCATGGCTGGCCAGGCTACAAAATGCATGCCAAACAAACTCACATCTGCAAAAATACATTTGAGTTTCACAAACAAATGCAACATTTTTAAAAAAGAGAAATCTATTTTCGGGGTTTCTAAATGCTGTTTATCATTTTCAAGTTATTTCAAGAAAGAAAACCATAAGAAATTTTAAAAAGATTAAGTTCCACTCTCTCGTAAAAATAGATTTTTCTGTCAAAGCTAAACAGCATGAATATAAACGCTAAATGTTGAGTCCAGAACATGTAAAAGTTCTCAAACGGAACTGAACTTTTTTCCGTAGGTCACGTGTCTGCCCGGGAGCATCATTTGGAATTGTAGAATGTCCAAGGAAGATCCCGCCTTTCTGGCCCCTGATTGGCTCGAAGGGCTCTCATACAATTGGTTATTTCATTTAACAGCGAACTGTTTAGCCTCGCTGCAGGGTTTTATGTCTGCAGCCAGATCTTAGGTTTTTGAAGAAAATGTGAACGTAGCGATAACCATTCGGTCCTGTTTCAGTTTCTTTCATTAAAGAACCTGATAAATGTCAAATGTGAGCTTATAATTAATCTTGTTGCATTTATCACACTATTAGCTTATAACAAACTTCTTTCTTATGTCTTCACTTTTATAGGTTCAGGCTGTTAGCAAGTTTGAACACATATCCTCTTATTAAATGTGAATCATTTAATCTATTTAATTCAAAGCTGATTATGATTAGTCTATTTTCACCAGTTTTCATTATTCTAGAACAGAAACAGACTTGCTGTAGCCTGGTAAGGCAGACTAAATAAATATATTATTTACTATCATTAATAACTTTTATTATTATTTTAAACTCTTCCTTTACAAAGTTTGGTTCACTAGGCCAGACCTGCTGCACACAGCTGGGTAAAATAGGGCTGTTTTATTATGTTTCATACCCAGGTAAGGCACACATGTTTATCTTATGGATTTTAATAAGATACCCTCAACACTTGAGAGCCAACAGATATGAAATAAGTTCAACAGTGTGATAAATGCAAGATGATAAAGGCTTATTATAAGTTCACATTTGACATGTTTTATTTATTTTGTATATAAAAGAAACAGAAAAAATATTTGGCAAAACTGGACAGTATTGTATAATATTATAACGTTAAGTTCACCTTTTCTTCACAAAATCCCCCAAAAGAGCTGTTCTGTTGGTGGCAGGAGGACAGTCTGCACCCAAGCCTAGGAAAGGGAGGGAGACCGAACTCTGACCAAAGCATCGACATATATGTATGGACAATGGGTTTCCTTTGGCTCCAATAATAAGTTTTTGAGCCAAAATGGGAGGTGGCCACCACCGCCATTTTGACCGTGACACAGGTTCCATCAAGCCCAGACAATTCCCCAAAAGGGAAGAGAGGTGGAGCTGAGGGTGGGGCTGTAAGGCTGGGATCAACTGACGACACTCGGTCGAACTGAAGCTAATGTAGCTACAAGCTAACCTGAAGCTAACCCAAAGCTAATGCAGAGGTGAGAGCTAAGCTAACGGAGGTATCAACCTAGCTACAACCAGAGCTAACTGTGCCCGCACAGCAGACAGGCGCCGCTGCGATCAGAGATGCGCCGAGTTGCAGGGAGGGGACCATACCGATAGTGGGAACCCAGATCCACCAACATGTTATGTTTCAACCCATTTTCTAAAGTGCAGCATTATGTTAAATGCACTGGGTTTTACCCTATTACATTTAAATTTCATGGTTAAACAGTACATGTTAAAATCTAAGCTCAGCTCGGCAGTGACCTAAAATACATAAATATAATTTTACTTACCGAAAAAAATGAAGTGGAGACTCCTTGGACGCTCTATTAGTGCAATTAATGCCACAGCAAGTCATTTTGTCCAACAATTGCACAAAAAATATCCAAAAAAGAATACACAAACACAGAGATTCAAAATCCCGGAGCAGTTTCCAGGCCAGACCGAGGCTCTACTGAGGTCTTTCCACGGAGCTAGCTCTGTGGTCATGTGGGTCTGATGCTCATTAATTATACAGAATTTTAGGCTTTTAATACACTTAAACAGAAGAGTGAGAAAAAAAATTCACCCCCCTCAGAGTTGTCATGAGTGTAAACTAGATCATTTAAACCAAAAACATGTTTTGGTACCAGGCTGTAAACATGTTTATTCCTGATGTGAAGTTGGTATTTTTAACATGGGAGTCAATGAGGATTTGCTCGCTTCTGACACCAGCCCCTAGTGGATGAGGGTGGAACTGCTATTTTTGTTTTTTCATTTCCGCATTGGCCTCACTTTCAGAACCGATTTGTGGGGGATTGGACCAAAGCCCTGGTGTGTCCAAATCCACGGGAAGGATGCTTGTAGCGCATTTTGAGGTTGATGATGTCACAGCGCAGCGACGAGTACTGTCCGAATTCCAAGAATACTCATTCTCGCGTCCTCAAATGCGTCCTCGCTCCGCCCACATTTCGAGGACGGGTCTGTTGTATTGTCACAATTCAGGATTCAGAATGTCCGAATTCAGGAGTAAGGTCTAGCTGCAGACGCAGCCCCGTCCAAACACGCCCCGACAAAACACGCCCCTATGTACAAAACACGCGTGCATGTACGAAGACGAGAACTCGCATGCGTGTTGCAACCATCGACATAATATAGGGGTTGCAACAGATGGAAATGACGGTTCAGGTAAAGACAGATTTATATTTTTACAACTTGCGAAGATTTTGTACTTTAAATTTGAACGTTTAAGACATAGTTTGATAGATAGCGCATTCGTGATTTTTTTCTGAAACACTTTTATATAAAATTAAGCATAATTGGCAGTGGGGGAAGACGTCATGGATGCAAAATATTTTTAATATAATTTTTAATGGGATACATGCAAGCCATGTAGCCCATGGCTTGCATGTAAACGTAAACAAAATAAACGTAACAATAGGCTATTTATTTGACCGTTTATGACTCCTCATCTAATAAGCAGCAAACTCACGATGGCAATGTGGTAGACCGGAGGTATTCTACAAACACAAGAACAGTGCTAATGCCTATATGTATTGTTTTCACATTGTTTATGACAGCCTCTAGGTATGAATGTCATTTTTACTAATTGCTATTTATATTTGTCTCATTAGTGAGAGGCAGCTGAAGTCCTATGCCATGGAACTGCTCAGATACTCGGAGAAATTCAGAAAAGCTCTGGACTCATCTGAGGCTGTAGCATTGTGTGGACATTTTTTTTGGAAGGTTTTTGTAAGGCCAATAAAAGTTGTTGCTGGTTGTTTCATTTGTCTGAACTTTTTTTCGAAAGCCAAACTTTTCTGCTTTTGTGTTTACAGAATATTCTTTACAGATTAGTGTATGGTCAATATCAGTTTACTAGTCTTGTGAATTGTATACTTAATGGAAAATATTTTAGTAATTTTTAAATCAACACATTTTGTGTCAAAGGCCCAGCAATTACTCCTGTTAACAGAAAATATGAAATGCATATATACACACATGTAAATATGCCTAAAAATTACACATCAGCAGCTTTTCACTGTAAAGAAGCAATAAAAAATCATAAATAGTAACATAAATATTAACTACTCACTCGTATGATCTTAGACCTACTGTTAGTGCCTGTAATAACAAATGGTTGAAAGTTAAATGTTGCTGTAGGAGGCGTGCTCCCACATAAATGGAGGCTAGTGGGCTTCAGGGGTTAATTAAAATGATTACCACTAATTACTTTTTCTGATATTTTATTTTATTGCATTTAAAATAAACACTTGCACATACATTACTCACCTGCTAACTTAAGTAAGCACAGGTATGTTGTGCCTACTGTCCGGTAACTGATTATTTGTTGGTGGTATCTGTGTTTTATAATGTCACTGGGGATGCCATAAAGTGTGTATGCAAGAAACAAAAATCCATACATTCATATTTAAACCTGGAGTCCTGTCTGTTTAATTACATTATTACTATTTCTGTATAAAGGTATTCTTTCAATTGTGTTGTTCGCCGAGAGGGTTTAAAGCACAGACCGATCACCTGCTGGAGCTGACAGCGGGATGCTCCCCACCCGCTGGGAGGGCCGCCGTTATTGAGCTCGGGGGTAGCTCAACAGGCACATGGGGGCGTGTTTTGTAGGGACTGCGTCTGCAGCTAGGTATTATTGGAATTCAGAGCCGCTGACTTCCGGTTTTAGCAAGGGTCCTTGCTAGACCGGCGAGGACCCGTACTTATAAGCATCCTACCCGTGGATTCGGACCATCGACATTAATATTAGTCCTCAACGGGTCTACATCCTTGCGAGGGAAGACGGATTGCTGCTAAATGAAATAGCCAATCGTAGTAGAACCCTTCTAGCCAATCATGGGTGAGAAAGGCCGGATCTTCATTGGACGAATCAAAATAACGCACCCGGGCTGGGGCCCTTACCATGGTAACCGTGATGGGCGTGGCTTAACGATAGCAGCCGAACAGGAAAAAAGTTAAGGTGTCGTCGGACTGTAATGGTCGCTCTTGTTACCTGCTGGTTAACAATGAAAAGTCTAACTTGAATTTGAATTAAATAAGTTCGCAGAGAGGTTGTTCTGTGAGTGAACCCATTAGAGGCCAATTTCTGTGCTAAGGTAGGAGCTTTACAGTTTAACGATAGCGAGGTAATTGAAGCTAGCGTCACACAGGTGACTGCTGCAGTTCAGTTGTAATAACAGAAGCTCGGACGCTTTATAAAGCACGTATGAGTGGTAGGGGACTCATTGACCCGGTACCATACCCATGCAGTCAGGTTGTGTGGTTATTTCCCGACATAAACAAGTAAATCTAAATGTGTTTGTGAGTGTTTATTCAGTCAAACCAGTCCTCAGTCTAAAGCAGGTTCTCGTTAGCTTCTCCGTCTTCCACTCAAACGGTTTTGTTACGAATGAGTGCTGTACGCATTTCCTGGTCCCGTCCTGCGGGACCGGACCGAGGGATAGACGCGCACTTGTTAAGGCAAGACGATTTTAGCGAAACTATGTCACACGTCTTCAGAAAGAATTAAAAGTTACTAAATGTGAGCATTTCCTATATTTACAACCAGAATGTTACCCAGTAATAAAGAATGCGTGTCCACCCAGCATGCCTGTTTTTTGGAAACGCAAACAAAGGTGCGGCGTTAAAATTCTCGTTTAGCAACACTCAGCAACTGATAAAGGCTGAGTGACACCATGCATTAGTTTTCCTTTAGTGGCCAAACTCGTTGCACGAGTGCGTTAACGTGGTGACGTGAGAACCACCGTCTCCTGGTGCAGACGTGAAGTCCACAGGCCAGCCATGAGAACTGAGTGGAAACGCAAATATTGGTTTTGCCACAGAATGAATCACACCTCTGAGAATTCAGCATTATTTTTGTGTTTACCCAAATGAGAGAAATGGACATCATCAGATTTTGAAAGTAAGATTGTCTAGAATAATAAAGAGTCATATTTAATATTGCTGACATGGTCATTTGTCACAGTGTAGGACGGGTTTAAGCCCCACAAACATGCAGTTGGGTCACAGGGGCCCAGTGGGTTCAGAAGAATGGGATGGAAACATTAAATAAAGAATGAATAATATGATTATATGCTATAACAAATTAAAAGAAAAAATGCATCTCACTCATTTTTAAGAGTCTGTATTTTTGTAGTTTCAGAATCCAGCAGAACTCCAGAGAAAAAGCCTGTTTTTAAGGAATTAATCCGAAACTGGATGCTTTTCCTTTTCCTGTTTTAAAACAGTGATAAGAGATGGCTCTACGAGCATCTCCTTTCCCTAACGGGATTCTTGCCTGTATCCACGCTGTGGGCTGGATTTTAATTTTCCCTTGTTTTTGGTATCTTGAGCGCATCATTGCTCTGTGTAAATCCACCTCCCTGGAGCGAATCCAGCAGCAGGAGCAGGAATGTTACCGCCATCCTCTCAAGGTTTTTTTTGGCTCTATTGTCTGCTTTATATTTTTTCTCCTCACAGCCCCTTTGGCTTTCTTGGGCTTCCTGCTCTGGGCACCCCTCCAGACCTGTCGCAGACCTTTTAAGTACCATAGAGAAGCACCGTCATCACCAGAAAGGGAAACGCACCACGACTTTGAGACCGAAGGACAAGCATCATTTAGCTTTGCTACAGCCAATTTGTGTCTTTTGCCAGATGGTCTGGCTCGCTTTAACAATCTTGGCCACACTCAGGATAGGGCATCTGCCATTGGTCAACTCATTGTGACGAGCCAGGTTGGTCACCAAAGTGCCACCCATGTTTTGGCCGCTCAGCATCTCAGACACCAGTGTGATGAACCTCGGCAGGTGTTGTCCGTTTTTCCAAGTTGTCTTGATATCCTGTGTCTTGAGGAGGTGTTTGATAAAAGAGCAGCGCAGAAGCTCACCAATATACTAAAACCAGTGTTTGGACACATACTGTATGATGTTGGCGTGTACACCTGCCAGCCGCCGTGCCGATGTTCGTCTTTTAAGTTCTTCAACAGCGGCCTGTTCCTTGCTAGTAGATTCCTGGTGCTTGAAGCTCAGTACCACTGCTTTCCTAACAGCAGTGGGGAGGATGCGCTGGCTTCCAAAGGTCTCCTCTCCACCAAGGTGTCCTATTTAATGACCCATCTCAATTTAAGGGAAATTCAGAAACGTTGAGTCATTACAGAGAAAACGACATATTTGCTTTTGGTTCTCTGCAGGTTTTCATAGGTCAGAATCAGAGAGGGAAGAAAGTCGTCGGCTATTTTAACTGCACACATCTTCATGCACCAGAGGGCAAGTTCCCAACTTGGTTCACTCACTTGAACTTCAGTTTTTCTACGAGAAAAAAGAAGTCAGGTTCCCGACTGTCTTCTCTGTGTTCCCATCAGGTGAAGGGGAGGTTCGCTGTGAGCAGCTGAACATGGTCATGAGGTGGATCGCTGACTTTCAGGCTGCCAACAAACAGCCTGATGAGGAGGTTGTTTTTGACGTGCTCTGTGGTGATTTCAACTTTGACAACTGCTCACCTGGTCAGTCTTTTACATTAAATGAGCTCTTGGCACTTTGTGTATATTTTGCACGTGTATGAAGTGTTTTCATTTGTGTAGACGACACTCTGGAACAGAATCACTCATTGTTTGATGACTATGGAGACCCTTGCAGAGAAGGGCCTGGAAAAGAGAAGCCCTGGGTCATTGGTTGGTACCATTTAAAGCAAATCAACGACATCATTACAATTATTGTGAATGCTAAAAGGTGACTACTGTGGATTTCTCCTGAAGGCACTCTGCTGAAGCAGCCCACCTTATACGAGGAAGATGTGAACACCTCATTAACTCTAAAAAGGTGTTTTTTTTTAGCTCTGTGTGTGTTTATACATTATTTTCTCAGGTGATGTTTTAACTTTCTCTGTTTTCTTTGTATCTCTGCAGAACGTTGGAAACCAAGGAGCTGAGGAAGCAGTACATCTCCCCTCCTGTTGCTGCAGAGGGCTTTCCGCTGGTTTATCCAGAGAACGGCCAGCCGTGGATTGGACGTCGGATCGACTACATCCTCTATCGAGAAAGCACCATTTCAAAGCTGTGCAGAACGGTGTGCCTTTGGATTTTCAACTACTTTTAGCTGAAGATGACTATAACTTAAAAAAGGGGCTGATAGGATTTTCCTACCTTTTTCAAACCAGGTAATAGATGATTGCTCCTTTGTTTCTCTCTAGGAGGTTGAAGCGGTGACCTTCATAACACAGCTGGCCAGCCTTACAGACCATATTCCAGTAAGCCTGAGACTTAATGTAACTATGGACTCTAACTATGATGGTGATGATGATGTATGACAGTTAATGTGAACAAGTGGGGCCAAATGCATTTAAATCTACAGTTTTATCTGTGCAGGAAAATTAATGTTGGAACTGAAATGCTTGAATTTTTAAATTTAGTAATTTTATAGAATTTTGGGGGTTTCTGTCAGATGCTTCTTTTTTCATAACTGTACGCATGTTTTATAGTGCAAGCAACATTTAAATGACACATTGTCTCAGTATAGATTTTTAAAACCATATTTTTAATATTTTTTAATTGAAATGTTTCGTTCTGAATTAAATGCAAGTGATAAAAATTATAAATGTTTATTTATTCTTTAAATGTGCCAGCAATAACACGTTGTAGCACTGGTTTTTATTTTGCTTCTCTGAACAGTGAACAGGATGATGACGGGAAAGTGAATCGGTAGATTTGGCCCACTTGATTATAAATGCACTATGTCTCATAAACAACATTTTCTAAGATGATAAGATTATTGAACATGTTTGATAATTTCTAAATATGTGATAGAATTAGATGTTTATTAAATGAATATCAAAAATAGTGGCAGTAAAATAACCATGTACCATGAATGCTCGTCAGTTTTTGCTTATTTAAGTATTTCACTTCAGTTAAGAGAGTAACGTTTAATTTGCTATCGATTAAATGAGGCATAGAATACGCACAACTGGTCAAAATATGCTTCCCAGGTGGCTTCTGGCAGACTGATGAGTGGGGGAATTGAGCAAATAATAATTGATTGATTTAAAAAAGGATGTTTATGTTTAAGTCTTATTTATTTGGCAGACACTTTTATCCACAGCGACTTAAAATTTATAACCTATAGGGCATGTTGTGATGGTTCTTTAAGATTATTCCACTGAAAATGTGGTTGAATCCCCAGGATGGTCATTTAACATGAGCTGTGAGCTCGGCTGGAACTGGGAGAATAGGAAGTGAGTTCACCTTTAATGTTCATTGTTGAGAAGTTTTCAACCAACCAGATCTGAGAAATTTCATGAGGCGTTTACCAAGACCGTCAGCCGTCATGCATTCCCCAGGCACTCAGAAGAGGTTTATTCCACTGAATGTGAAGTAAATCTGTTAAACATTAATTTGTTAATATACTGATATTAATATGTGAATGTAACTAATAATACATCATTATTAAGTCATCAAGTTAAGATCTTAAATAAGTCATGAATGATTAAACATTTATGTTGATTGACTCATTGGTTAATTAATTAGTTAATTATTAAATCACTTTAGATCAAACATTAATTGTAGATACACATAATATGATTGCAAACAATCCTTTTATTAAAAGAGTAAAAGTCTGGGTGTCTGCACAGACCTTGCAGCTGCAGCTCCATGTCCGCGTGAGAGGTTGTTTGGATTTAGTTTCCAGATGGTGTCGCCAGAGAAGTTCAGCAACTGTTTTGGTACAGGGAAGTACGCAATACTCCTGGCATCAGCAACTTCTGGACACTTGACTGTCTGTTGACCTCTGACATTGCTGTGGACAAACAACCTTGTAGGACTTCTCCAACGCTGCAGTGTGAACGCGCATGACGCCATCCGGCGTTACGCTGCCTCTGGAAGGCATTGGGGAAGCAGGCTCATTCGACCCGAACACACCTTTGTTTCTGTGATTTTACAGGAATACAGAGGCACAGTAGAATGCCAGGGATCATTCTACAGGAGCAGGGCATTGCAGGAGAATGTTTGAGAAAGAAATCTTTAAACTTGTTAAACTTCCTTAAAGTCCCTTTAAAAAACTTGGTTGGTTACCTTCGTTACTTATTTCAGATTCTGGTGTTAACAAGCTTCCTGTAACATTGTCAGAAATGCACAAAAAGATTTTTATTTATTGAAAATTAATTTACAAACACTATTTTTCACCTCTTACTAATTTAAAATGAAATAATAGATTGATCCTGCACAGAAACAAATCATTATTCCTTGACAGCTGGTTTGAGAAGGGCGTATGGTCAGTAACTGATCTAATGAACAATGGTGAATTATGATCAGTTTTGCAGAAGGCATCATTTACCTCCTTTTTTTTAAGTGCTCATTGAAGTTCCTAAGGAATCTGTGATTCTATCTAAAAATGCAATAGTCCATTTGAATGTGGGTCCAACTTTACCTCCTTTAGCAGTTCAAGGTATCCCTATCCTTGATAAGAAATGTAACAATTCTTTTATTAGAAAATGTTGAACAGTGGGATTATTTACTGGTTTAGTAAGAAGAAAAACATCCTAAATGTATTGAATAAAATTTCAGTTGAAAGATTAAGAATTGTTTATTTGTCTTTTCCTGTTACCCCTAAAGCCAAAGAAACTCCTTTTAAGAATGTTTTTTACATGTAAGGAGTTAGTCAGAAAACGTTTTAACTTTGGTGATGGCTCTTGTACTTTCTGTGAAACAGATATTGAAAGTGTTAGCCACGAGTTGCAGTACCAAGTCTATACTCCTGGAATAAGTTCACCCCAGGAGTATACATGTTCGATGCCACAAACAACAGTTTGTGCAGGAATTGGAGAGCCAGGAGCTAGAGAAGACAAAGAAGGAGACTAGGCCGGACCATGATGCTACATTAGCCCCCGCTGCTGTCCAAAGCAAGCTCTGCTAAAGGGCAAGCTCTTATGTGTTCCTGACTGGTGCTGAACTCACAGTTAGCTTAGAACTGCCACCCACACAAAATCAGATCAGAGCAATGCCACATTATCAGTTTATTGTTCAAACAATATAATTTTCTCGTTCATATAGTTGTACAATATAATTATCATTCATTTTATTCAATATTATACATGTGTATGTTGTTATAACATATATAGTTTCAAATAGATTTTTATTGTAAGAAAAAGAAACTTATGTTGTTACAACAATAAGATTACATATTGTATTGTAATATCACTATAATTTCATTCTTTTTCATGGGTGGCAGCTCTATAGTCCAGTATGATATTGCTGTGTCTTTTAGACTGGGCAAATGTAAAAGACTTGTAGTGTAGATACGATCCATGCTGACAAATCTGAACTAGTTAGAAACGTTTGTTACGTATCGTAACCCCAAATTCTATGAGTCTAGTCTTAGCCCTTAAGCTAGCTGCTATTGGAAGGGTGATCTCAGCATCAGCCAATCATGAAGAGCTTAAAAGTACACACACCAATGGTGGGCACCCTCGTGGGTATATAAATGGAGCGACTCCACTGTTCGCCTCCAGTGGCTCTTGGTCCTATCAGAACTAGTGGGGCCATTGGCTTAAGGGCTGCGACTAGACTCATAGAACCTGGGGTTACAATACGTAACCAACGTTCAATTTTGTCTCGTCTTAGCCCTTAAGCTAGCTGCTATTGGAATAATGCGCAGCTGGATGGGTTTACGCCACACTGGTTAGCTCAACTGAATGGACACATCCAACATTTCTCTTCTTAGAGAGGGTCGCTCAGCCTCAGCCTAAGGGCCTAGAAGGCTGAGGCAGCCAGAAAGAAGAGTGGGGTTCCCACTAAAATGATCATCCACAAGAGGATGAATTTAATGATCCATTGATGTAAACACCAGCTCATATATGAGGGGTGATAAGATAATAAGGAGCCCGGGGTGACAAGAGGGCAATAGATTGAATGGGACCCGTTATGAGGGGAACATCGGTAGTGATTGTGAACATATCCATCTGGATATGTATTATTGTAGTAGGGCCGATGTGAGGCCGTAATGTTTTCACTCAACCTGTTGGGGTCCAAGCACTGAACGAGTGATGGATCCTGAAGAAACATCTCGTAAGTAATAACGAGTAAAGGAACATGGGGAAGCCCATGAAGCAGCTAGACAAATGTCTTCCATCGACACACCACTGTGGAGCACCATAGAAGAGGAAATCCCTCTGGCTGAGTGAGCCCTGAATGTCTCAGGGGGATCCTGCCCTGATGATGTATAAGCGAGTGAAATAGCGTCACATAGCCAGTGTGAAAGACGCTGGGTCGACAACGCTTGCCCAAGGTAAGAGTCTCTGTAGTGCACAAACAGGCTCTGTGAGCGACGAATCCCTGAAGTGCGTGACACATATCGTGCGAGCGTCCGCACTGGGCAGAGAAGGTGGGAAGCTGCCTCCTCATCAGAATTATGGGGAGGAGGAAAAAGTCCAGCCAATGAAATTGACCTGGATTTGAAGGAAGTATTAATGGTTTTGGGCACAAAGGCTGGGTTGGGGCATAAAACAGCCGCCCCGCCATCTTCCCGGATCCCGAGGCATGCAGGAGCCACTGAGAGGGCGGTTAGGTCGCTCACTCTCTTGACTGATGCCAGTGCCAGCAGCAAGGCAGTTTTGAGTGACAGGAACTTGAGTGAGACCTGGTCCAAGTGTTCAAATGAGGCTTCAGATGAGCCGTGCAGAACCACCGTTAGGTCCCACTGGGGAAATAGTGGGCGGGACACAGATCTGTTCCTTCTAACACCTTTTAGAAAACGTTTTGTGAGGGGATGATAGAAAACAGATCTATCTCCAAAACCTTGGTAACAGGATGAGATAGCTGCAGCATATGTTTTAATAGTGCTGAATGCGAGGCCCCTGTCCATCAGTATCTGCAGAAATGAAAGGACATCCGCCAGTTTTTTCGGTACTACGAAGTAGTGGGAGTAGAAGCCCGAGTGTTCTTGCCTGCGAGGAACTTGGGAAATGGCCTTTTTGGACAGAAGTTCCTGCAGCTCCCACTCTAGGGCCTGAGATTGTTCCTGTGATGTGAATTCTGTCTCCACGATCCCGTTGAAGGGAGGAGGAGCGAACTGAAAATGGTGTGTGACCGTAATGAATGGTGTCCGACATCCATTTGCTCATGTGACAAAGGCGGCGCCATTCTTGTGCGCGTTCCGACAGCATACGTGTGTTTGAGGTCACGTGATCTGAGGACTGGGTTTGTGCCCTTACCGCCGTCGCTCGCATCAGAGGAGAACTGGGAGCGACCCGTGGAGGGCTGCGCTCAAAAGGGCGAGTGTGAAACAGCTGGAAGAGGCTGATTCGCAATGCGGAGCGTGGTGTCCAAAGAAAAAGAACGATTGGGAGCCGGGCCCGTGCACGGGGATGATGAAGTGCCAGCAGATGGAGCCGCGCATTGTAACACCGCGCGTGGTCGCGATTGCGTCATGACATCCCGTCCCACCCTACGTTAAGGGGGGAACGAGGTGTGTTGGGCCTGGCTGGAAGCTAGGGCCGGCACGCAAATGGAACGCACCTTTACAGCCGGTGGTGGGCGTGTCATGTGATTGACTGCGTGAACATGCAGGTGTTTCGCAGTGCTTGGTGTGGGGAACATGTGTGAGGATTCGGCAGAAGATTCTGCAGAGGAATGTAGGATTTTGTTCTCAAAGTAACGTTGTTTGGGTTTTATTTCAAAAACAACATCAGCCACAGAGTTAACATTACAATTATTAACACACACATTCCCCCAACGAGTCATTTTCTTGGTTGCTTTCGGCGAGGTTCTTGTGACTGAGAAGGCCAGGATGATGTCTGCTGGTTCTTTCGGAACCGTTGGTTGTCAGATTTCTGGTCCCGCTGAGGTGGAGCCGAAGCAGGAGGCCGGCCCCGAGGGG